TAACCTAATGACTTGATCAAGCCATTTTGCTACTATCATCAATGGATGACCCAAGAAGAAGTAGTACTCATGAAAATGGTGAGAGCAGGGAGATTTTGTTAAATGATGATCACCTCAACTTTCTCGGTTTTCCCGCCAACATTACAACCCACGCTCTACTTCTTGGAGCCGACAAGCTGCTAATGACCCGAAAACCCGACCCATTACCGACCCATTCCAACTTCGAGCCTCAAACTTATCACGAACTGCATGAAAATCTCAGTAACGGTAAAATCCAAGGTAAATACACGACAAAAGAAAACCGAAAGGTAAAAAGATTCGAAGAATGTAAGAATAATTCATTTCATGCAACTTCACGATTTAGTAACGAGTACAAAAGCTATAATGGTTATAACAACGACGAGTTTTCATTTAGTTTCATAGCTTTCGCGACTGTACTAATGCTTAAGCTTGCTAGCTTTCAAATAAGCCTACTCTTGAGGTTCTTTACTTTCCCCATTTGGCTCCTCAACTTGTCCTTCATGTTTGTGGAGTTCCCCTTTCAAATTCTAACACATTTTTTGAGAGAGCATCTGAAGAAAAAGTTGATGATTGCATGCCACGCTTTTTACATAAAGCTTAAGTCACAGACATATTTTTTGAGACTCGCTGTAAGATTTGGAAAGGCCGTTTTCTGTGGGGCCTACGTGTTTTTTGTGCTAGTCGGGATGCTTGTGTCTGGTTTTGTAATCAGTGGCGTAATTATGAGAAATTTGGTGCAAGAAAGAATTCACACAACCGAAACTCTGAATTTCGATTACACGAAAACGAGCCCAGCTGCCATCGTGCCTGTTGTCAGTGGAGTTTTGCCTTCCAAATTGAAGCTCGCTGTTTTATTGACACTTCCAGAGTCCGAATACAATCGAAAACTCGGTGTTTTTCAGGTATAATCAGTTGTTTTAGCCTTTTCTTGTTCTGTTTTCACATGATTATGATAAAGGCTATCTAATCTAATTATTGACTTTTTTGTTTTCCTTTGTGAAGGTAAGAGTGGAAACTTTGTCGAGCAATGGGAAAGTAGTTAATTGGATGAGTTACCCCACGATGTTACGTTTCAAGAGCCAATCTATACGTGCTGTTGAGACTTTGTTCAAAAGCGTGCATTTAATAACCGGAATGAAATCTGAGGTACAAAATCTGAAAATCGTGATGGGTGAATTTAACGAAGGGCATGGCGCAATGTCGAGCTTTAAAGTGATTCTCGAGCAAAGGGCCGAGTTTCAAGGTGGTTCGGGTGTGCCTCAGATATATGGTGGCTATCTTGAAATTGAATCTGAGCTTTCGAAACTGAAGAGAGTTTTGTGGAATTGGAGACGAACGGCTTTCGTTTGGGTCGGTTTTGGTTCGTTCTTGAGTGAGGTGATGGTTTTCTTGATCTTCTTTAGGCCTGTTGTTTTACCTGGTGGCAGGACAAAGGCTATGGGCAGTAGTAAGAAATGTTTCTCATAAATTTGCATGGCACAACGCAATTTGAGATAGGGATGTTGTTTTAATAAGTTTCTATGTTATGTGAGCTCAGGACAAATAATTTGTGACAACCATTGTTTTTTTTCACTCATGTGTTGGTGCCTATGAAATATCAAAATAAAAATGGCTACCCAAATTATAGGAAAATTGTAGGGTGCTGTTAGTTATTTGCCCCATCACATGATAAGTGTGCACATTATGTACATTATAATTTACGGCTAAAAGTTGATTGTCTTATATTGTTGTGTCATCTTATTTATTTATTTAATTATTTATTTATAATTTTATATTTATGTTAAATGTATAAACATTAAAATTGTGTATCTTAATTAGTAAAAAAACAACTAAAGTAATAATTTAACAAATTTTAGAGTATCTAATTTGATGAAAGTTGTATTTCACAATGTGTATATATAAATTTTAGATATTATCATAAAACAATTTAATTTAGTTTAGATGTTTTTAGACATTTTTCATGATTATTTCAGAAAATATTAGGTGATTTCACACATTTTTCTAAAATAATAGAACATTTTTAGATATTTTTTCATGTGTTATATTTTTAATATTTTAGATAGACATTTCTTTTGTTCTGTACGCAAGTTGCGTTGAGTATAAATTGGTAAATTGAATTACTTGTCAACTGATATATCTCTTATAAATACTAGTCATATTTTCACTTTTTTAGTTTATAAATATTATTTAATATTATTTACTAAAAATTGCTATTTATTCTGGGATTAAGAAAATTCAGGAGAGATTTATATTATTTGGTATAATCTGTTAAGTTGATAGTCATAATCGATTTGCTCTTAAAAATAATAATAATAATAAAAAAAAAAACTGTTAGTTTATATCTTAATTTATATTGTATAATGCATTTACGCTTATCGTGTCCATATTTCCTCTTAGTCTCTAACTTTGAATTGAATTTCAACCAATGAAAAATATTGGAATTGCACAGGCAAACTATATAACTATTCTCAATATTAAAGTACATAAAAAGTGATTAATAAGAAGACTAGGTTATGGTTAGACTAGGTTATGGTTAGACGTTCTTCTCAATATTAAAGTACATAAAAAGTGATTAATAAGAAGACTAGGTTATGGTTAGACGTTCTCCAACCAAATCCCAAAAAATGAAGTAAAAAGTGTCCAACCGAACTGTAAACTCAAACTCAAAATAGGTTTTTGCCCCTCTTCTTTTTCATCAAAACGCATATATGCGTTTTTCCTGTAGCAAACGCATTTTCTTTTTTCATCTATCAAACTAGTCCTTCATTTTATCAAAATCTATCTTTGTATTAAATTTCTTTTCTCCTCTTATATAATTATATATAATACGTTGTGTATATCCAAATCAAATGCGAAGATAGTTTAATGATTTGGAGCCATGTTTGGATTTTATTCTATATATTACTGTACTTATATTATATTTATAATACTCTATATATAAATAAAATAGGTATCGTATATTAAAATATTTTTCATATAAGCACAATATTCCTAGTTCCAATATTGTCAATTGAATTTTATGTACATATGGATTTTTTAAACATACTTAGAGTATGATATGGACATTGGTAAACCGATTACTTATTAAATATGTGATGACATTATGACTTATGAGTCACCTAATATTATTAATATATGTATTATAACCTTAAAAAGTTAAAATAAATAAAATAATAATAATAAAAAAAATTACAAAATTACTAAGAGAAATTGTATACTTATTCAAAAAATAATATAAATTGAAATTATATATCTTTCTAAAATATTTTTACATAAAAATAAGAAAGGTAAAGTTGTATACCATGTACAAATGTAAAAACATTAAAATAAAAATAAAATATCAAAAAATAAAGAAAAAATTTAATGACTATTTATTTATTCGATTTTATTATGTATATGATTATAACTTTATAATAAGTTTATTACATGAAGTCCATATTTAATTGAAAATAATAGTGTGGTTTAATTTATAAAGTTGAAAAATATAGGGGTAGTATTGAAAAGTTATAAAAGTTGATGTAAAAGAGAATATTCTGAGAATATTCTTTTGGGTTGGAGAATGGATTTTTCGATTGAAGATGAATTACTGCAAAATAGAACAGTTACTACAAAATAGGTTTGAGTATAGAGTATTTAGTTGGAATGGAACCAATGGAACCAAAGTTGATTAAGGCCAAACAAATTGGCCACTTCATACGTGTTGTCAGCAAAATTGTGGTCTTCATCAAGAGTGGGTCTTCTGTGATACCGACAAAGTCGTCTAGACTTTGAAATCGGATTGAAATATATATAGATCAACCCACTTGAAAGCCGCATAATTTGGATACCGATTTAAATTTTTAGCTTCGAGAAAATACCTATACAGAAATATTTCCAGTCTCCAGATATATAATCATTGAATTTTTATTTTTATTTTTTTGGTTAATCCTAATATTCATAATGAATTTTGTTACCAATACTGTATCCATCTTGATTGAAAACCCCTTAGGTTTACTTGCAATTTTGATCACATAAATACAAAATAGTATTGTTTATATAAGTTTTCTTTGGTACTCGTAATGTTGAAATTTTAGTGCACTTAAAGTCATTTCTAACCATTATTCCACTTCACGTGTAGAGTCATTTCTAACCATTATTCCACTTCACGTGTATGCTCTACACGTGTACTTTATTCTATTCTAAAGTGTGTGATACGTAGTAAAAATTAAATTTTAACTTCAACCGTTATGACTACATATATGAGTAAGTATTCTATTCTTATTCTTACTATTTTGATTAATTTTAATTAATCTAAGACGTATAACATAAAGCATGTTGATATCAGAGTTGGGTTACCAAAGAACTCACGGTTCAAAGATAAGGGACCGGGTGAAGATGCCCAAGAAATCCAGACCGGCGTAGAGTCATTCCAAAATGCCGAGCTGGGCTAGGAACAAAGTTGATGAGAATGACGAGTAGTGCAATCTTTGAGAGAGGCACTTTATCCAAGCAGGAGACGACACCGGTCTCCGGTAGCGCCGAACAGAATCATAGAACCCAAGAGACCAGAAGATGAAGTGACGACAAAAGTCCGATTTGAAAGTTTGGGCAAAGACCGGCTGTTGCATGCGTGCAAAAGTAGGAAATAATAAAATAGCGCCACTTTTCAAATGTTGATTGCTGATGGCACATAATATCCTAGTCAGCCACCCTATAACATCTAAACTGATAGAACGACATGTCAGCATTAAATACCCCACATGAATGCATTTAATATTTTACAGGTAATTATTGGAAAAACCTTAAATGACATTTAATGTCTGTCAGAGCGGCGCCGACCTGTCATTCCAGATCACTGTGCGACAAGACGTGATGAACAGTGCATGAACAGTACCAAATTAGAGCTACTATAAATAGAATTTTACCCTCATTTATTAAGTGTTGTTCTCCTCACCAACTACTTTCTCTCTCTACATTTACTCTTCCCAATCTGTAATAAATTCTCGTGAATATTCCAAGTGTAACCAAAGTGTCGACCTTAACTAAAAAGGTCGACATCGTGATTAAGTAGTAAAACCCATTTATTTTGTGATTTCTTGCTTCTTTACTCGTTTAAACACTCCATAAACTTTTATTAAACACTCCATAAATATTTCCCGTCAACTTTACAACCCACGCTCTACTTCTTGGAGCCGACAAGCTGCTAATGACCCAAAAACCCGACCCATTACTGACCCATTCCAACTCCGAGCCTCAAACTGATCACGAACTGCATGAAAATCTCAGTAACGGCAAAATCCAAGGTAAATACACGATAAAACAAAACCAAAAGGTAAAACGATTCGAAGAATGTAAGAATAATTCATTTCATGCAACTTCACGATTTAGTAACGAGTACGAAAGCTATAATAATGGTTATAACAACGAGAGTTTTCATTTAGTATCATAGCTTTCGCGACCGTACTAATTAATGCTTAAGCTTGCTAGCTTTCAAATAACCCTACCCTTAAGGTTCTTTACTTTTTCCCCATTTGGTTCTTCAACTTGTCCTTCATGTTCGTGATGTTTCCCTTTCAAATTCTAACACATTTGAGAGAGCATCTGAAGAAAAAGTTGATGATTGCATGCCACGCTTCGTACATAAGGCTTAAGTCACAGACATATTTTTTGAGACTCGCTGTAAGATTTGGAAAGGCCGTTTTCTGTGGGGCCTACGTGTTTTTCGTGCTAGTCGGGATGCTTGTATCTGGTTTTCTAATCAGTGGAGTAATTATGAGACATTATGGTGCAAGAAAGAATTCACACAGCCGAAACTCTGAACTTTGATTACACGAAAACGAGCCCAACTGCCATTGTGCCTGTTGTCAGTGGATTTTTGCCTTCAAATTTGAAGCTCACTGTTTTATTGACACTTCCAGAGTCTGAATGCAATCGAAAACTCGGTGTTTTTCAGGTATAATCAGTTGTTTAGCATTTTCTTGTTCTGTTTTCACATGATTATGATAAAGGCTATCTAATCTAATTATTGACTTTTTTGTTTTCCTTTGTGAAGGTAAGAGTGGAAACTTTGTCGAGCAATGGGAAAGTAGTTAATTGGATGAGTTACCCCACGATGTTACGTTTCAAGAGCCAATCTATACGTGCTGTCGAGACTTTGTTCAAAAGCGTGCATTTAATAACCGGAATGAAATCCGAGGTACAAAATCTGAAAATCGCGATAGGTGAATTTAACGAAGGGCATGGCGCAATGTCGAGTTTTAAGGTGATTCTCGAGCAAAGGGCCGAGTTTCAAGGTGGTTCGGGCGTGCCTCAAATATATGGTGGCTATCTTGAAATTGAATATGAGCTTTTGAAACTGAAGAGAGTTTTGTGGAATTGGAGACGAACGGCATTCGTTTGGGTCGGTTTTGGTTTGTTCTTCGGTGAAGTGATGGTTTTCTTGATCTTCTTTAGGCCTGTTGTTTTACCTGGTGGCAGGACAAAGGCCATGGGCAGTAGCAAGAAACGTTTTGTTTGATAAAAATTTGTAACATAATGTAGTTTTCATAAGGTCCTAGGTGAGCTTAGGACAAATAATTTTCAGTTAATAAAATTTGTCCACGTCACATCACATGCACATTATGTACACTTTAATTTTCAGTTAATAATAGGTCACTTCACATTATATGCACATTATGTTACACTTTAACGTGGGAGTAAAAGTTATTCCCTTATACTTATCTAATTATTTGTTTATTTATTTATATTTTTATATCTATGCTACACTTTTTTTTGAGATCTATGCTACACTTATAAACATTAAAGTTGTGTATCTTAATTAGTAAAAAATAACTAAATACATTGAAATAAATTAACAAAATTTATAGCATCTAATATGATGAAAGTTGTATTTCACGATGTATATAAAATATTTTAGTATATTATCATATAATAATTTAATTTAATTTAGGTGTTTTTAGACATATTTTCATGAGTATTTTAGAAAACTTTAGGTGATTTCACACATTTTTAAAAAATAATATAACATTTTAGACACTTTTACATGTGCTATATAATACTTTAGTTTTTTTATAACATTTTAGATAGACATATTTTTTTTTTCTTCACCCAAATTGCTTTTCATATAAATTGGTAGATTGTATTACTTGTTAACCCATCTATTTAATTATAAATATTATTTAATATCGGATTTATATTATTTACTAAAAAGATTAATATGATTGATATTAAAAGAATGGAATAAACACAAAAATTCATTATACTACAAGTTCAGTCAAATACGATCAGTTAGATTTGTTTGATAGCAAAGAAGGTAGACTTGTCAAAACGGGCTGGCGGGGCGGGCCAGCCCGCAGCCCGCCAAAACCCGCTGTTTGGCGGGGCGGGGCGGGCCGGCCCGCCATCCTGGCGGGTCTTCAAAATGCCAGCCCGGCCCACCCCGCCACGGG